TTTGGTAGCCGCACTTGGTATCTTCCTGCTTTGAATTCCATTGTTTGTCGCATGTATTCTAGCACATGGTCATCGCTCATCTTTGTTGCTGGTTTATCCTTGATGCCCATGTTTTCCAAGTCCCAGAATCGCTGCAGTTCGTCCACAGTCGTGTCCGACTTGGCACTGACCTTGAGTACCATAACTGTGAATGATTTCATTGGCACACAATGAAGTCCTTGAGGACCTTAGACCGTCTATCCCAACATTGTTTCTATTGCCATTACTTTTGTATGAATCTCACGAATGCGACCAGTGACTACAGTCTAGTAATAATCTGCTTCAGTTAATATTGAAGTTTTCATATTTTTTCTTTCTTTGTCTGTCTTCTCTCTGTCATTAGCCAAACAAATTCCCATCGCTTTTGCTCTTTCCTGTATTGCCAACGGTGGCGATAGCAGCATGTCACAAGATATAACTTCTATTTCCGGTGCCTCAATCGTGACTCGCTCCGATGTGGGGTCCTTCCTCACGCTGACCTCGACGACTTTCATGTCTAGTTCCATCTCTTCTCCTCCAAATGATCCTACCGTAATCCTTTCAGATTTTTTTCACCTTGCACGCTAGTTTTCTTGACAGTCTTTTGAGGATGTATGTCCTCTGGCTCCCATTGTTCAGCAGAATCCGTTCGTAGCACCCGCTGTCTTCTCCCTCTGTCCACGGAAAGGCTGTCTGCTGTAGTATGCACTTGTGTTCACCAGACTGCTGTGCGGGCATGTTGCAGGACTTGCTGGTGTCTTACCGGTCAGGTTGCGCGCTTATACGTACTTGTTCAACATCATCACTGCTTTGCTGCTGTGCTGACTTTCCTGCAGGCGTAAGGGTCGACACATGGATGTCGCGTGCCTTCCCTTGCATGTTTTGCAGCATACGTTAGCGTGGCATATCTTTGCCGTGTGGTGATGTCTAGTGCATCTGAAGCACCTTCGCTCTCATTGCAAGGCTTCGTTCTTCTGTTGCATAGTAATGCTTCTTCTGCAATATTCTGTGTTATGTCCAGTCATCTCACAAAAGATGCATTTTTCATCGAGGTGCTTTGAAGCGGAGATGTTCTAGTCCCCTTCATACTGTGCGGTGACTGGGTGACGTCGTATTTGTCCTCTCAAGTTTCTTCTCTGCTGCGTTTATATATCTTTAAAAACTCTATAATTTCTTTAAAACTGCTCGTGCTGTCTCTTGACGCTGAATCCAATTCCGTAGTTACTGGTCTGTTGTCGCCTTTCTCTGTCTCCTTCGTTTTCATCTCAATTCTCATATCCACCGGTAGCACAGATTTTACAACAGGAGCTATCACTGTGGCATAACTATTCATTTCCACTCCTAACGACTGCAATGCTCGTGTGTTCACTTGTAACTTTTGGAAGAGTTTCTTCAACCCATCTACATCTTTAGGACTCTTCACTGCTTCCACGTTTGCTAGATCTTTTATGTAGGTCTCTCTTAAATTATCTTGTCATCCGAAGGTTTCTTTCAGAAGAGTGACTGCACGCTCATGATTATGATCAGAAAACTGCAACCCTTCTATTAGAGACGCGGCCTCCCCGCTCAGAGACACCAGAAGATAATTAAATTTTTTATTCTTGGGCATCTTCAATCTGTTATGCACCGATGTCTCAAACTGATGCCAAAACCTTGGCCATGCTTCTATTAAACTTGATCATCTCAAGACGTGGCAGCGTGACAAGTTCTTGTGTCTCCGAGATTTGGTTAGTACCTTGCATTGAGCTTGCCTGTTCTGTGAATATTCTCGTAGTCATTTGCGTCGCTTGTTGTAACTCGTGTAATTGCTCCTATATTTTTGTCGTTGCGGCAACGATCTTCATTTCATACTGCAAAATTTTTTAAAATTCTGCCTCTGCGTCTTCTTCTTCGATTAGTGGTTCAATCTGTTTGTTAACATGTCTTATGTCGGTGGCACGCTCTTCGTCTAGTTTAGAAGCGTCATAAGTTGCGCTCGATCGGCATCTTCTTCTATCTTCTTATCAATTTCGCTCGTAAGCGTTGTCATATTAGCTCGAAGCGTCTTACGCTTCTTTGATAGGACCTCTTTATTCATGCTTAAAGCGTATTGAAAGAGCTCTTGCCTGTGTATGTGTGTCGCCAACAGTCATCGGTCGGAGTCCATCCCAGACGGTACGTCGTTGAGCCAGACGCCGCTGTTTCGTTCTTCAACCCATTGTTGCGAATAGGGTTGAAGTGGTTGCGAACCCGTTGCTGCAAATGGGGTTAAAGTCTTTGCGTCTGTCCTCAAATATTCTGGTCACGGCACCATGTTTCAGAAGGACCAGAGAAACCGCAGAACTGATACATCTTCGGTTTATTGTTGACAGAACGAGATTAAAAAAATATATACGAAGCGTGCCTCTGGTCACTTCTTCTTCCCTGCTTTCGAGCACCATCTTCAATCTGTTTTCTATAACATGTTATAAAGGAAAAAGGAGTTTATTTGTCATGACCCAACTAGCCTGCACAATATCTCTTTTTTAAACTGAAACAAAGGACGTGCAAATGTCACACTTTCATTGTTGAAAGGAAGTGCAACTTTGAATAGTACCACAGAAATTAATCGCAGATGCTCGAGAGTGATAAGAGACTCTGAGATAATACTTCAGCTAGACTAGATCAAGCACTGGCAAGTTAAGTCTTACAAAATCGCTTTTTTTCTTTGTTGTTGTTGCTGCCACTATGCTTGATGTTGGCATGATTCGTCCTTGGCAACCACATATTGTGTCTACTTGAATGTCATACAAGTTTCCTTCCCGATTTTTTTTCTACCTCGAAGTCAACCCTCACATTACAATACACTTAGACACAAAAGAATACACTTAATACTCAATATAGCGAACATGGATATACCGAATTATCGGTTATAATGAAGGAAGTGGAAAATGGTCCTGCAAGAGATAGGTGCAGTGTTAGAAATCAGCTTTATAAAAAGTTTTTGGATATAACAAACTTACTTTATTGTAAGATGCACCTTTGTTATAATGAGGTTTGTATGTACCAGAGTTCACTAAATTCAGCTTATCTGAAAATTGCACTGACGCACAGACTTCTTTTATCTTGTTTAATTTTTTCTTCCTGAACTGAATGAAAAGTTACTCCTCAATAACGTTACAATCGAGTAAATACAATACTTCGTGGTCTGAAGATTGCATTATACCACAAGCTCGGATCTGTTTTCCTCTACTCGGATACTGCCTTTCAAGTCTCAGCGAAATTATAAAACCGTGGTATTGATAAATTCATTCATTAACACCAACTTTCTACTACATGTGAGTACGTTTTCTGCACCTGCCCGTAACACAAGGCATGCAGGCAATGGCAACATTAACCTTCCCAATAGTAGGAATGTATATAACGAACAGTTAATTCAGTTCACTGGTGCTAAAACCTGGAACACTGATCCAATTGAAGTTAAACTAGCCCGCAAATTTAATTTGACTTGCAAAATACATTTTGTCAATCAGTCGTGTTCCTAACCACAGTGAAGCTCACATCTACAGTCACCGACCGTTTATACGGACTTGACGGGAACCGCCGAAAAGTCCGAATAATCGGGAGTTCGAAAAAACAGATTCACTTGAAAAAAAAGCGGTCTTATAGGCTAGGCCCTATTGCCCGAAAAACTGTCTAGTCTGCACACACGCGCACTTCCGAGACAGTTTGCTTGGAAATAGAAAATTCCCGAGCCACTTCAGACTGAGGTCGGCTGCCTTCTACCTGGTGTATTATCTCTGCTTTCTTTGCCATCCTGAGCATCTTGTAGCTCCCACGTTGGCCGCGTTTCTTCACTCCCAAGGGTGCAGCAACGGGTGGCATCATAGCCATTTCAGCACGCCACAGAACACGCTAGAGAGCGAGAACACAGAGAACAAGAGGAACCAGGCCTAGCCGCAGAAGCAGCTGACTGACACGCTGACACCGCCGACACTACGCCAAACGTCCACAGCCAACAGACTCCGTAGGTGGCTTGGCTTGGCTGCTCGACTGGCTAAGAAAAAAAAAAACGCAACACTACAAATAGCCTTCGAGATCCGCAATGGCGATTTCTGCGTGCATTTTTTTGACATTGGCCCGATGTCCGTCCATCGCTAGTGCAGCATATCAGTGCTGGCTACCTAGCAAACGTATTGTTAACGTCGCTGTCAGCATGTAATTGCGTACGGCAATGCATGCGGTCAGTCAAACGGAGTCCGAATAATCGAACGGTGCATAGTGGGGCGTCCGAATTTTCGGTCGTGAGTTTACATTGGGATCAATGGGGCAAGTGGCGGTGCTACGGAGATGTCCGAATAAACGGGCGTGTTTGAATTTTCGGCGTCCGAATAAACGGTCGGCGATTGTATATATATATATTTTCCTATGTCTCACCTGGCACATATTCTTCTCTTTCTTGTTTTTTTTCTTTGTTTTTACGCAAGTTCGACTGTTGTTTATTCCTCAACTCAGCCTTATGCAAAAATTCTGCCCAGTCTTTTTGAATACCCCGTGTTTTGTACTTTTTACAATGTGTGCCATTAGTTCTTCTTTATTGCTTGTGTACTTAAGATTTTGCAGCAATCTTGTATTAATTGTGATGTGCATTTCATTATATATAATATACCTTTGAAGCTACTTAATCATTGAACTTGTATAGAGATTCATATCTCATATCATATCATATCATGTGCTTCTCTACTCTTGACATGTCAAAAATATTCATGTACTAGGTTGGACCTGTTACTACCCACACAGGCTAATGGTCTCAATACTTTGTAACCACTTTTGTTTTAAGTGCATTGAATAAACACTGACTGATAGATTGCTTCATTGATTACCGAGTTGTCACTTGGAAAATCTGTTCTACCTTCTGCCATTTTGTTAGGAGTTCCATTTCTGCATCACAGTATGTTCTTTGATAAGTCTTAGTTCATTCAACTTTTGTCGATAAAATATGTTGCCCTTTTTTTGTGTTGCAGGGGCTGTTCCGTATTACGGGTAGTGCTTCAAAGATCAAAAAGCTCAAGGTGAGGGCATCGCGAGTTAAACATGAATTTCTGGCCTCAACATTGTAGTGACTGTTACTTGGTTAGTGCAGTGCTTCCTTTTAAACTCTCGCATGCGTTAGACGCACGCGTCAACAAACATTGAGAGGAACGTGGCATCCTGTTCAGCCTGTTTTATGCACTTAATTATCTGTACACTACTGTGCATAAGTGATTTTTTGTTTTGTTTTGTTCATGAAAGATGAGTTTTCTATAGAGCTGTGCGAATAGCAACATTTTGGGTGCCAAGTGAATTCAAGTATTAAAGTTTGAGTGCAAACGAATAGAATATTTTTCGAATGGTTGTTGAATATTTGCTTAATATTTTTTAAATACATCAAAGTGAAATTGCAGAAAGAATTACTAAAGATCATTACAAACATTCTTATGTGATAGGAACACGACAAGTGAATTCAAGTATTAAAGTTTGAGTGCAAACGAATAGAATATTTTTCGAATGGTTGTTGAATATTTGCTTAATATTTTTTAAATACGTCGAAGTGAAATTGCAGAAAGAATTACTAAAGATCATTACAAACATTCTTATGTGATAGGAACATGGAACTCTTTATTTTGGCTGGGTTGTTGAAGTGCCGGAGGGATGATTTTCTCTAGTTGTTTTATCAAGAATGAGGCAATGCAGAGGCCTAATTGCATTTACTGCATAATTTGGGACAACTGGTGTGGTGCCAACAACACTCCAGATGTGAAGGGTAAAAACTGCTGTTGCCTCCATCTCTCCCATCTGTGGAGAGCCAACTGATTTGGCAGACAAGGGCATGCTTACTTAGAATTCGGAGTTGCTTATCTCCTCCCTAGAAGTTAGTGTGTAAAAATATCTGAAAATTTTCATGCAACTTTCACAGACTTTTGGGCTTTAAACAGCATGAAGGCCCCAATTTCTGCCACGTAATTTCAATCCAGCGGTTTTATGAATCAGTCCACTTATGGCTTTTGGAGAGCCCTGCAGGCAGCTTTGTTAGACTACTTGAACGTGATGCAGCAAAGCATGTTGAAAGCGTGAAGGGGCTGTTTTAAGGGTGCAGTGCATATCCATGGTGGAATGCAATGTTGTCTTTAGTCAATACACTTGCATTTGTAGCAGAGTTGGAATGGCAGGTTAGCTGCACTGCAATAGTGTAATGGGTTGAAGCATCTAAAGAATCTGAATGGGTCATTGCCAATTGGACATTGACTCTTTCATCGCAAAGTTCAAATATTTCGAATAGTGAAATTACAGTTTGAATCGAGTCCAATAGCAAACTCTATTCGAGCAATATTCCAATGTTTGAATATTTACGCACACCTTCTTTTGTATATGAGTAAATGAGTTTTATAATTGTGCTCAAAGCATTTTGTTATACAGTAAAAGCTCGTTAATTCGGATTTCACGGGACCGGAAAAGCTGTCTGAATTAACCGAATGCCGAATTAACGAATGAACAGGGAAAACAACATTTAAAATCAAGCTACAGAAGCATACCTTTATTTATTGAAGTATTTTGTAATTGTCGTCTGTGTTTTCGCGCAGATTCCGGCTGACATCACAATTTTTCTTAACTGTTCCAAATGGCCAACAGCACGCAAGCTGTCGGGAGTGTTCAGGCAAGCATCCTCTAATATTAACAGCGCCTCCGAGACTTCCCGTGAGGTGCGATGAGGTCGCGGCTGTATCTCCTCGCATGATTCTTTGTCGGAATCGTGGTCTCTTCATGGACGCCCGTGACATCATTAATAATCTCTTGATCGGTCAGGAGACCACTCGTGGCGACACCATGATCAATCGCGATGTAGTCCTGAAAGGTCACATCTGTGGGAGGGACAGCATCGAAAGTCGGGCAGTCATCGTCGGTGGACTCGGTCGGTGGACTCTGCCACTTTTTCGGCGTTGCCATCACTGTAGCGCACGATGGTGGTGGCATGCAAATACGGTCACAATGGAAGAAAAACAGAACTCCACAAGAAGAGATGGTTCCGACACGACAACGCAAGGGAAAATGGCGTCGGAGGCGCTGAGTGGAGAAGAAAGAAGACGCCGACGTTCGGTGACGCTGCGATCGCCCCCACTAGTTGATGGTGATGGCGATGCCACTCAGGTTTCGGTTTCACTCCAGTGGTGCCAGCGCTGCTTTATCACACTTTTGTGTAGCAGCAGCCGTCAGCATTTGTCCGAATTAAGCAGTGCGGAGCCGAATCCCGACGAAATAACGAAGGTTTGGTCCCATAGATTAACATGCACTTTGGCCGAGACCAATAGAGCCGTCCAAATTATCCGAATTTCCGAATTAACGGGTGTTGAATTTACGAGCTTTTACTGTACTTTTTCGTCAAAATTTGAAGAGATGCTTCTGCAGTATCGTGTATGCTAAATCCCGATATGTCCGGTCTATTTAACTCGGTAACAACTGTGTGTATATCTCGATTAACTATGCATGCTCTGAATTCCTGCGGATTCTTTCATTTCAGAGCGCGTTCAACGCGGGTTTTGCTGACATGAGCGAATTCGAGAGGGATCCCCACACAGTGGCAAGTGAGTCACTTTGTTGCCTTGTACATTGTATACCTGTGCATGTGTGCATTTTCTTCAGTGCCTTTCTTCAAAACACAAAAGCATGTTCATGCAATATCCTTTGTTTTTAATGATCTAAAGTCGACACCTCCGTTTTCACTTTGTAGTATCGGCAACAACATCGGATCAAGCGGACATGGTTCAATTTAGGCTTGTGCGAATAGTGAATTTGAGGTTCTAAGCCTATAGTGATTTTGGAGCAGTAATTTTTAATCAAATTTGAATAGTATATATCACATGTTATAAAAAAAGTGAGCATATTTGTCATGACCTAACTACCCTGCACAATATTTTTTTTTTCGAAAACTAAAATACGGCTTGTACAAATGCCACTTTTTTTTGTTTAGAAGTAAACTTTGAATAGTAGGAGGATCTGACTTTTATTAGAATGCAAGTGACAATCGGTCAAATATGTTCTTTTAAAGTTTACGGTACTAAAAGCATATAAGCCGGTATAACAAGCATTTAAACTTAAGTAATGATGAATCGATGTGAGAGTAAAATGTTCGTTTAACCTTGATGTAGACCTTTGAGACAGTGTAGAATTTTTCTGGTCAAGTCTTTTCATGGCTTAGCACTTCAGTGTAGTGAAACCTCCTTTATTGTGTATGCTAGCAAACTAATACATTTAATTAGGTGTTTTCTCAGCTTTGCACCCCTTACTGCACTAAAACTATTTTTATAGAGGGTTAGATGTACACTACTAATATATTGTTACGTAAGATGGGGTAACTTGAGGGGGTTTTTAATGTGCTCTGAGACCGCAATCACAGTAGATGCAATGTCGTCTTCCTTCTCTACCTGTGCTTCCCTTGTTTTTCCTGGTAGTGACACTTCATATCATTCCTCCTGTCTCAGATGAAGCCCTCTGGGCGAGTCATTCTTGTATCCTTCATGTAAACGGCTTCAGGCGGGCCACATGCGTAACCCCTGTTTTGCATGAACGTCGGCTACTAGTGGTGACATGTGCAATTTCATAGTTGACCTCGCTGAGACGATGAAGTGTCACGAATGGACCGGCGTAGTGTGCCAGTAGCTTTGGCTCAAGCCACGTCTGCGTATTGGGATCCACACCCATACTAGATGACCGGGGGCATAGGTTATGTGCCGGTGTTGACTGTCGTAGCGAGTTTTGAAGGACTCTTGCACTGCCAGTGTTCGTAAGCAGGCAAGTCGACGTGTCTCTTCCGCACGACACAAAGTTTCCGCATTTTTGAAATCGGCATGGATGACAAAAGGACAGACAGTGTCCAGCGTATGTTGAAGTGATCGTGCGTACTGCTGATAGAAAGGGCTGTAGCCTGTCGTTTCGTCTTTCACCATGTTGAAGGCGTACGTGACAAATGGTAATACTTCATCCCAGTTATTGTGGTCGGAGACGACGTACATTGACAACATGTTGATGAATGTTTGGTTTGTGCGCTCGGTCAGGCCGTTACTTTGTGGATGATACACAGTTGAGTGTTCGAACTCGGAGGCACACAAATGAAGTAATGATTTCACAATATCGGCGGTAAAATGTTGTCCATGGTCACTTATTATCACACGAGGTGGCCCGTGTCGGAGGATGACTGAATGCAACAGGAACTCCGAAACCTGGACTGCCGTGGCGGAGGATAAGGCAGCCGTCTCACAGTACTGCGTCAGGTAGTCGGCACATACAATTATCCACCGATTACCTTTTGAGGAGCGTGGAAATAATCAGATCAGATCAATGCCGACCTTTTAAAAAGGGGAACCGGGAGGCTTTACGGGATGCAGGTGACCGACTGGAGCTGAGGTGGGCCGCTTGTGGCTCTGACACTGCGTACAGCTGGCCACATAGTTTTGAATTGTCTTGCTCATTTTTGGCCAATAGAATCGCTCTTTCGTGGGACTAAGTGTTCGTACGGTTCTTAGATAGCCACAAGTGGGGTCATCACGCGTGAGACGCAGAACAGACGTTTGGAGGGACGCAGAAACAACCAGCAGAAAACGGGCGCCCGTCGTGGACAAGTTTCTTTGGTAAAGAAGACCATTTCGGATGCGGAATCGGCCTTCGCTTATGGACTTTCTTGCTTCAGGGAAGAGAGCTTTCAAGCTTGGGTCATTACGCTGCTCAGCGGCGAAAGTCATGGCATTAGGAAATCCAGACGACAGAGAAGCGATAAGGTGGTCAAAGTTATCGGCTTCACAATCTGTCGTCGGTAGCGGCATTTTGGAGAGGCAATCCGCATCAGCGTGTAGACAGCCAGTCTTGTATAAAATGGTGAAGACATATTCTTGCAAACAAATGGCCGATCGTGCGAGGCGGCCGGATGGGTTACGAAGGTTGACCAGCCAACACAGAGAATGGTGATCTGTGATGATAGTGAACGGGCGACCATAGATGTATGAGCGAAACCGTTGCACGGCAAAGACTACAGCTAGGCATTCCTGTTCGGTCACTGTGTAGTTGCGTTCAGGCTTGCTTAAAGAACGACTGCGTACTCCACGACGTGTTCCTTCTTACCAGAACGCTGAACGAGAATGGCGCCGATACCGATGCCACTTGCGTCTGTGTGAATTTCCGGGGGCGAGGAAGGATTGAAGTGCCGAAATATCGGCTGCGAAGTTAACAAACACTTCAGTTGGTGAAAAGCGGCATCACACTCGGAGGTCCACTAAAACGTGCTGTTTTTGCATAGAAGGCTCGTCAGGAGGTGAATGACATCCGCAAACCTGGGTACGAACAAGCGGAAATACGAGCAGAGCCGGATGGAGCTACACAGTTGTTTCACAGATTTAGGACGCTCGAACGATTCAACGGCCGCTGTCTTTTGTGGGTCAGTTCTAATGCCATCTTTATTGACGAGATGTCCCAACACCAATGTCTGTCGCTCACCAAAGTGGCACTTTTTTTAATTCAGTACAAGGCCAGCTTTTCCAATGCAGTTGAGCCGGAGGTCTAGGTGAGTGTTGTGCTCCTCAAACATACGTCCAACAATTACGACATCGTCAAGGTAACACATGCATATATGCCATTTTAAACCACGCAATATAGAGTCCACAAATCTTTCGAATGTCGCTGCAGCATTACATAATCCGAATGGCATAACGTTGAACTAGTAAAGTTCGTCGGTCATAACGAATGCCATCTTTTCTTTGTCAGCTACATGCATCGGAATTCGCCAGTAAGCTGATCTCAGATCAACAGATGAAAAGTAGAAAGCGGAATATAGGCAGTCTAGAGCGTCATCGATGCGCGGCAGTGGATAGACGTCTTTCTTGGTAACAGAATTCACTCGGCAAAATCTCCAAGTACCATCCTTCTTCCTCACTAGAATGACCAGAGCAGCCCACGGACTTGCCGATTCCTGTGTTATTCCCTTTTCCAGCATTTCTTGGAATTGCTCATCGATGATCTTGCGCTCTGATGGTGCCACTCATTAAGGTTTGTGCCTAATGGGATGCCCGGGCTCGGTGTGGATCTGATGACGTGTCCGGGACGCTGGAATTAAGGGCCTTTGGCTGTTTTTTAGAAAAATTGAACCTTTCCAGTGCTTAGATAGAACGTCGAGCAGTGTATGACGTTCGCCTTGGTCAAGTGAATTATTGACCATTTGTAGCAATTGGGCATACTCTGAACCTTGTGATCCTAGATGTTCATTTTGGCTTGTAGCATCAACAAGCGCAACTAGCGTCATAGATGATTTGGGTCTAAATACTGCAAGTTTTATGCCGCCTGGCAAAACTGCAGGCTCCATGGAACTGTTCATTGTCCACACACCTGCCCGTCTATCAACGACTGACACTATACAATGGCGAATGAGAATGTTCTTTTTCAGGCATGCCAAGGGAATCTATTCGAGTGTGGCATCGAACGTGCCACAGTTGTCACTGGAACATGTCATGGGAGCACACACACAGCAGAAAAGGCAGGAACGACTGTGTCCACGGAGACGAATAAGATGCATTCATCTGGATAGGAATTTTCTAAGAGTGCCGTTGGGAAAGTATGGTGTATGGAAAGATGCCCACTTTTGCAGTCTACAGTTACCCCACACTCAAGCAAGAAGTCGATGCTCAAGATAACGTCATGTGTAGACCGTGGAATAACCGCGAACTCTGTGCAAAATACCTTGCCACACTGGGAGACGTCCCCAGTACAATATCCCACCGGACACAACACATCACCACTTACACCACGAAATGTCACACCACGGTTCAGGCAAAACATCACTTTAGGTCTTAGCAGGTTCTTAAAATTTACACTCATCACTGAGACTGTCGCGCCTGTATCCACAAGTGCCATAGTAGCCACTTCATCGACAACTACATGAACTCTGTTCTTCATCATAAACGCTGACGGGGGTATATCTGTAGATTGCGCCTGTGATCTCGCGGCCTCACCCCCACTGGCCGCACCGACTAGTTTTCCGGCGGCGGTGTCCGTGTGCGTCGCCGTGGCGACGGCGATCGTGGAGCACGTGGAGCTGGTGGTGGCGTCAAACTTTGATCAGAGGCCGGCGAGGGGTAGTGTGACCCGGTAAGTGCGCATGGTTTTCACGACGTGGAGGTTGAAAGGTTGGTGAGACATGTACAAAGGCTGTCCCTGATATGGGTGGTGATCACAAAAACATGCGATGTGACCCAGAACGCCACAGTTGTAGCACACTGGAATCGGTCGAGGGGCACGTGGCTGCTCAGCGTAACGACTCCTCTCGGAAAACATGGGATAGTGGTGCTGCTCTTCAGGGGCACCGTAGGCAGGCGATGTTGGGTAACCAGGCGGGCGAAAACTTCGTTCGTAATTTAGAGGTGGTTGACATGGAAATTCCAGCTTGCCGTGTGCCTTGATATTCATATGCGTCTGCTGTGTTGATCGATGGTTGCCATGGTGGAAGAGAAAGAGGATTCTGCACACGTTCTGGTTTGCTTGCGTATGCATGCTGAAAATCCCTGGGGTGATGATAGGTCTGCTGACATCAAAGCAGCTCTTC